AAAGATGGAAAACTCACTGAAAGATCAGTTATGGGTTGGAGCAAGCTCAATGACGATATGTTTGAGGGCTGTTGTTGTGTACTTTTTGAGTCAGAAGTGACTTATAGTTGACCCTCCAGTAGGTTTTCAGAGACAATAAATTGCATAGGAAGAGATTGTTCAATACTCTCCTGTGGAGTAGCTGGTGGATTTGAACCATATGCCTTTGAGATGGTAACACAACTCCTTACCACTAAGCTACCAGAGATCTCAAGTGGTAATTTGTTTTCTTATTTTTACTACTAATAACAGTAAAAACTGCAACTAATATTTACTGGGGGCCAAGCTCTGTGCTAAGCACTTCTTATGTAAGTTGGTCTCGTCACCATCTTTGACACAACACTGTCACCTCCTATATCGTGCTAGTGAGAAACTGAGGTTTACAGAATTGAAGAGAGACTTTGGGAAAATCAGTGTGCACATTGTTTGAGGGAGTGAGTTTAGGAGCCAGTGTTTGCATTCCAGAAGCAATCCTTACCTGTGTGGTATCCTCAGGCAAGTGGCCTTAACTTCATCCCCCTGCAAAGCAGGGATCATACTAGGGCCTGCCTCAAAATCTGATCAAGAAGAATAATTGATTTAAGATCTATATATATGAACAGTGTCTGGGCATAGCAATGCTCTGCCATGTTTTCTCTTATTAATGAGGTGTCCAGTTAGTATAAGGTAGAATGGAGATTTGAACTCAGAACAGATATCTCTGTGGCAACAGCATGTGAAGATTCAGTGAATGATATAGAGGAGAGAGAAGTGAAGAGAGAGGAAAGATGAGAGAGCAAGAGAGGGTAATACACACAAAGAATAGGTGGGGACACACACAACAAGAGAGGGAGAATGAAAAGAAAGGGAGAGAAGGGGAGTGAGTTGTTGAGAAGCACTTTCATTGTCGTTGAGTTGAAATCAACTCATAACTGATCCATTGAATTTCCCAGGCTGTAAGTCCTGAGAGAGGAGAAGGCCCATCTTTCTTTTCTCCCTTGGAGCGGCTGGTAGATTCGAATAGCCAGAGAACACAGCCTTTGGGTTACTAGCATAACTCAACAGACCATGCCATCAGGGAGAGAGACGAGGAAATTGGAAGTCAGAATTCCTGACCTCTCCTAGAGTCTTAGCTCTGTGAAATGCCTAGGAAGTCAGAAGCAATTTCTGGGCCCCTGAATAGATTGGAATTATCCAATCTGACACCACCTTAATCTTCTTACTGAAGGTGGCGGGGCAGGATTTGGTGATGGCATTTAGTTGGGAAAAGGAAAGAGAGTGACTAAGGGAAAGGTAGAGATGGAGTCTGAGAAAGAAAATGTGTGTGTGTGTGTGTGTGTGTTAAGATCAATGATAAAGAGACACACAGAAGCAAAGGCACAGATAAGCACCCATTAAGAATAAGAGAGGCTAATGCTCAGAGGGGAGATACAGAGTCACACACTGTGAGAAAAGAAGTACAAGTGAAGAGAGCAGAGAGAGCTTTGGGAGGATTTACTGGGGCGGTGCTGAGGTGCACGATGATTGACTGGCCTGCTCTGGGTTGAAGGAGCAAACAGACCTGTTAAGTGTGTCAGGGCTTTATCTGAGGAAAGCACCTTTACCAAACCCCGGTGAGCTGAGTGGTTTTTGACTCTGTCAGACTGTGACAGGAGACATTTTCTTTATCTGAATTGGAGACAGGTAGGCTCCTCTAGGTATTTCACACTGGGTGCCACAGATTAGGTTGTGGATATTTCATGGTTGGTGATAAAGGCTTGTTTGGAAGAGCCTTAGGCTGAACAACACTCATAACAGAGTGAAGAGGGGGATGAGACTCACGAATCTGGAGACGGATTTTATGTGAGGACATGGCTTCTGTACTAACTTGCACACACATATATACATGAATATACACTCATATATAATCACACATGTATATGAATCTCTATATGTGCATATGGGGTAGTATATGGATTTTTACCACCTGTTAGTGTATAAAACTGACTTCTATGATGCTGGAAGCTACACCACCAGAATGTCAACTCTGGCAGGTTCATTCATAGTGGACAGATTCCAGCAGAGTATCTAGACTCGGACGGACTATGGAGAAAGTCTTTATAAAACTGTTTAGCACTTTTGTGCAAAGCTTACTCTGAGTCATATTCGACTCGACAAAACCACTGCTAAATGATACTAGTGCTGTTATATCTGGAAGAACATTCTTCTACTTTGCACATCACTCTTTGTCAATGTGCTGTACGAGGTAACCTGGGTTTGCTGTGGTGCTGAACCTTGTGACATGGGGATATCAAGTACCATAATGGTTTCCCATTGTTGACAGTGTTTGGTGGAGCTTTCAGTTGTAAAACAGGTTGGGAAGCAGGAGTGGCATCCACTTCCTAAACCACAGGCCTCTGGAAACTCTATGAACTTGGAAAAACAACGATAGCTATGGAAAGGCATTAGGTCTTTTGCTCATAGAGTTGATATGATTCTACCTCAACTCGATGACAATCAACAACAACAACAACAACAACAACATTCAATTCTGAATTTTCATCATTAAAAACACTATGAATGACCACAACACATTTTAGATATAATATATTGCTGGAACAAGTGGCGCCCAAGTTGGAAATCATTGAAACTACACATTGTTGCCGCAGTGGATTCCAGCATGCCGTGGTGGTGAAGATTCTCCAGAACCAGACAAGACTTTGTCTTGTTGCACATGGGTTTTTCATGAGCGAGAGTTGATTGACAGCAACTAACAACAATAGATATTTATCTCTCTATATGTTTGTTTACTGGTAAATCTATTCATATTCTCTAATTCACTTGCTATGTGTCAGAGAGTTGAACAATGACTAGGGAGGACAGAAGGAGAATTGATTCCTTTGATATGTGACGTTGGAGAAGAGTATTGAATATACCATGGACTACCAAGAGAACAAACAGGTTTGTCCAAGAGAAGGTGAGACCAGGCTGCTCTTTGGAGGCAAGGATTCTGAAGCTTTGTCAGACATGCTTTGGACATGTTGCAAGGAGGGAACAGTTTTGGAGAGGGATGCCATGCTTGGTAGGGTGGAGGGATAGCACAGGAGTGGAAGACCCTCTATTAGGTGGATTGATTCAGTGAATGGGATAATGGGAGTAGGTCTTCCAGAGACAATAAGGTTGGCACAGGATAGGGCAGGGTTTAAGGCTGTTGTACATAGGATCGCTATGAATTGCAGGAGACTCGACAGCACACAACAACAACAACATTCTCTAACTCAAACCATTACCATCAAGTCAGAACCAACTCAAATCTGACTCTCCACTGGGTTTTCAGAGGATGTAAATCACACTGGAAGAGATAGCCCATTTTTATCCCATAGAACTGCTAAAGATTTGAACTGCTAAAGTGGTGTGGCTTTTGGGTTAGCACAATACCCTCTCACAGGTATGCCACAGATTGTTGTTATGCACCGTCAAGTCACCTGTGACTCATAGGGGCCCTATGTACAGCAGCTCTGGACCCTGCCCTGTCCTGAGCCAGTCTCACTAATTCTGACACACTAACTCCCCTTTCCCCAGTTACTGTATCAATCCATCTCATCCAGGGTCTTCCTCTCCCATGCTATCCCCTCCACCCTTCGGAGCAAGGACCTATTTCTACTGGTCATGTGTCCAAATATGTGAGATGGAGCTTCAAAATCCTAGCCTCCAAGATGGATCTATTTGTTTTCTTGGTGGTCCATGGTATGTTCAATACTCTTCTCCAGCACCACAAGTCAAAGGCATCTATTCTTCTTTTGCCGTCCTTAGTCATTGTCCAGTTCTCTGATGCAGAGCAAATAATTGCAAAGACTAGGAACACTTTAGTCTCTAGACTAATATTGTTGCATTTCAGTACTCTGGAGAGTTCCCTGACAGTAGATTTTCCCAGTGCAATCCATCTTTTTATTTCCTGGCTGCTGGTGCCAAGAGTATTGGTTGTGAAGCCGAATAAGTTATAATTACTAACAACCTCCATCTGTCTCTTCACCTTTATCATGATGCTGCCAATTGGCCAAGTGGAGAGAATTTTTGTCTTCTTGATGTTGAGCTTCAATCCATATTGAAAATTCCAGCCCTTGACCTTTTACAGCAAGCACTTCAGATCCTCCTCATTTTTGGCAAGCAAGGTTGTGTCATCTGCATAACATAGGTTGTTGATGAGTCTTCCCCTAATCCTGATGCCCCATTCCTCCTGATGAAGCCCTGCTTCCTGAATGATCTTGTTCTGCATATAGACTGAAAAGGTATGGAGACAGGATGCATCCCTGACACACTCCTACCTGATTTTGAAGCATTAGAGGCATTGTAAAAAAAAAATCTGGATTATAATAAGCAAAATGTTAATAATATTTTATTTCCAGGGTAGCATTAGTAAGAAGTTCCCCTTTCCAAGTTATATTTTTCTGTTATGTGTAAATGTTTTAGAATTACAATAGGGCCTTTATGATCGTGGGAACATAAGGTTTAAATGAATACCTTTCTGGAATAAGAGACATACAGCAGGATGACCACCATTCATCTGATAAGCCCACAATGGCTAAATGCAATAGCAGAGTATTTGAAAATATTTCTTCTTGATATTTCCAAATTACTTTGAAAATCTGATGACCACAATCTGCCCTCAGCTTCTTGCAGAAGGATGAAATTATTAATGTCCCCTTATTCTGACAAGTTGCACTCCTTTGAGGTTCCTTGGGGTAAAAACAAATAAATAAGTCTGGCACGGGTAGATTTATTATGCTCGGTTGGTTGCAGGGTTTCTGTTCAGTAGGGTGAACGGAGATTTCTCCCTGGAGTGAATTATGCATGCAACGACTGTGCTGAATCAACTCCCTTTCCCCAGCATCTCCATCGCCATCCCATTTCTTTTAAATTTTAAATGAAGGCTGAGGCTGGCACACACTTTCAAAAGCATTGCCTGTTGGCTTGAGTAATCACCCAGATGTGTCTTCTTTCAGGCTTTACGAAGGCAAAGAACAGATGGAGTTTGAAGAATCTATGAGACGGCTCTTTGAATCCATCAACAACCTGATGAAAAGTCAGTATAAAACCACCATCCTTTTGCAGGTTGGTTTACACTAAAAACAAAAAAAAAGTCCGTGTTTTTTTCTGTCCTTGGTCATCCAATAAATAACAGCATGTTGAGATAATGTCTACTTTGGCTTAAATATGCAGCCCTCAGTTAATTGAAGGCCTGGGCTAGCCAGGTGGTTTAATGATCAGGAAGGCCAAGGGCTCATCAAGGCAGGGGGGAAGATATTTATTGTTTCCTGGGAAGGGAGCAGTGTCTCCATTTAAAAATAGTTTTGCGCTTTTGTTATCTAGAGGGAAATAGGGTAAATCTGATCCACTTCTAGAGGTGAGAAGAGTCAAAATGGCAGAATCTTAAAGTGAACCTTTCTTTGTCCACTTTTTATCTCAACTCCATAAACTCAGGCTCATTTTGGGGAGTAAAGAGTCTTTTCAATGAACAAGGTGTACCCAGGGCTGTCTAATTCAGTGGTTCATGATGTTAATCTGCAAACTCCATAAATTTGCGGGAAACGTTGGAGTCCAGACCTGTATTAGAACTGGTTTAGCAGCAGAGGATCTAAATGAGGCTGGTTAGAGAGACTTTATGACTTTTACAGAATTTACAGTGTTCAGAGAGTCTACCTAATGTGCTGTGATGAAGACACCCAAAGAAAGAGATTTAAACCATTTGAGTTAACGTTGATTGCTTTTTCTTTTTTCTTGCTAACTTAAATTTACATTATCTTGTGGTTGCCCAGTTGTTGGAGTCCTGATGGCACAGTGCGTCAAGTTTTTAGCTGCTAATTGAAAAATTGAGAGTTTGAACCCACCAGCTTCTCTTAGGAAGAGAGAGAACATAGTCTGCTTCTGTAAAGATATGCAACCTCAGAAACTCTATTGAACTCTGTGTCTTATTGCAACTGACTCAATGGTAATGGGATTTGTTTTGGACTTAAACATTCAGCTTTGGTCCCTCAGTGGTGCAGAAAGCACTGCGGAAGAAATGTGTAGCGGTCAATGTTAGCCAGGAAAGCCCTGTGGAGCAGTTCCAAGTGTGAAGCTGCCATGACTCAAAAATCCACCTACGGGCAGTGGGTTTGGCATTTTTGTTGTGTGTTCAGATAGAATGAGGTGAAGAAGCAGAGGGAGTATATGCTACTGGCAAGAAGGCTTCCAAACTTTGCTCTTCATTAAAACCTTTTGGATCTTTAATAAACTCTGTTGCCTGTTTGTCACCACTAGACATTTTAATTTAATTGGTATGGAATGTGACCAGGGCATCAAGATTTTTAAAAGCACCCCAGGTAATTGATTCTAATGCTCAACAAAGCTTAGTAACCATTCTGCTAAGGGCTTCCTTTAACGAACGATGGGAACGAGATTCTCTCTCTCTCTCTCTCTCCAGGGGCTTTCCCATGTTCATCACTGCATCCTTGGCACCTAGAGTAGTTCTAATACATAGTTGATATTTGAAAAAAAGTCTGCTAAATGAACAAGTGAAAAACTCTAGGTTTTAGAGTGAGAAATCTGTTATAGGTAAAGAAACTGAGGTCCAAAGTAGATACAGCTTCTTCAATACTTCATTTCTGAGATTCTGCTTCATTCCTGCCTATCTCAAAATGCCATGATTTCAACCACTTTGTTATACTGTTCACAGAGCATTTAGTATGTGCTGCTGCCAAGATAGGGCTGTGAAGGGTTTGCTGTGACCCTAGTCTAAGGGTACTCACCTTCCCTTCCCTTTTGCTGGACTTTAAAGAAGTCTCTTCCTCCTCCTGAAACTCTCATAATTTTATAGCAGTGTGATTAACAGGAGCGAGAGGGAGCATGCAGACATGATCTTGTCACCCATCTGTGTTATACTTGATGCAGCTGAGCTTTGGGTAAGATGATCAGCAGTGCTATAATATAGAGCAAGCATTGGAGCATAGTGATGAGAGAAACTATGAGGTTGAGTCAGGTCTAAGATAGGCTCCCCTCAAGCCAGCGTGTGAGAGAGTACAAACAGTGAACTCAGGGGAAGTCAGTTGGTGTGAGGTAAAAAATCAGGTGCCCTGAAAGGTGCAGGTGGTCACGGAGAGAGACTGCATAGCCATGAGAAATATAGGGGGAATTAGCTCTGGGAGCTACTCTTTCTTATGTCAGCACATGTTTTTCCCCATGGTGAATTACATGTATGTTAGGATAAGGAATAAAGAGATGAAAGGAGAGAAAAAGGCAGGTGAAGAAAGGAAGTAGAAACAGACAGAGGAGCAAATGATCAACTAGGGTACTGTGAGGGGACATGAGTTTTCTAGAATGTTTTCAATCAGCTGTAGGACCTTAAGCTGGTTACTTAACCTTCCCTTTCCATGGTTTCCTCATCTATCAAACTTCAGTGTTTAGATGAGAATCAAATAAAAATCATTTGTAAAAGAACAAATGATAAAATATTATGCAAATACAGGGACTAGGTTGCATTATTAAGCAATCTTGGTCGTGTAATGGTTAAAGTGCTCAGCTGATAGGCACATGATTGGTGGTTTGAACCCATCAGCCACTTCAGGTAATCAAGATGCAGTCTAGTCTGCCTCGCAAAAGAATTACATCTTTGGAAACCCTATGGGACAATTCCACTCTGTCCTGTTGGGCTATTATGAGTTGGAATCCACTTAACAAATGCTAATGGAAGGACTATGATTATTGTCGTTTTGGTACAAATCCTTTTATATAGGTTCTTATTGTCGGGATAGCTGTGGTGGAAACACCTCCTTTTCCTGTGGTTTGAGCCATATTAAGCTGGTTTTCTCCTCATAGCTTTCCCTCTCAGCACAGAGGAAAGATAGGGGCTTCCTCTTATGTTTAATTTGTTCTGAGGGCTAAATTTAGCTTCAGGGATTTACATAAGCCAATGATGCTTTTTACCTATTTCTTTTGGTGTTGAAAAGTTATCAAAGCTGAATATGAAGTCTTATTTAAATCTAGAGAGCAGCACTCTTTGAAGAGCATTTAATGCTGTTTTGGAACATATGGAAGGAGCTGATGGGAAAGATCCAGGCCACATGATGTTAGCTAACCCCTCAGGATTCAGGAGTAACAGCCATAGCTTTGGAGACATGAAAAAAACAGGGAGGAAAGTGATTGTCAACTTTTGAGGTATAGCCTTGGGTAAATCATTTTATCCTCAGTTTAGTCTTTTGTAAAATTGGAAGCATTTTGGCTAATTCACAGATTATTGATAGAATTAAATAAGTATATATAAAGCATATAGAGTTTGTTACACAATTTTTTGTTGTTTATAGGATTTACTCTGTGTTATCATTATAAAAAAAAGAATGTTTTTGATGATTTACTTACACAGAATCTGAAAAGAGGATTTAGTTTGCTTGGCTTCACAATCAACGATCTTGTCACTAGCAGCTAGGAAATTGAAAGATGAATTGCGCTGGAAGAGTCTGCTTTCAGAGACCTCTCCAAAGTACCAAAGAGCAATGATGTCACTGTGGAGACTAAGGTGTGCCTGATCCAGGTCATGGTCTTTGCAATTACTAGCTATGTATTGGAGAGCTGGAAAATGACTAAGTAATGATATAAAGAGAATTGATATCTTCGAGCTGTGGTGTTGGAGAAGGGGTTTGACTATCCTATGGACTGCTAAGAGAACAAACAGGTTCATCCTGGAGAGGGTTAAACCAGGCTGCTCTTTGGAAACAAAGATTTTGAAGCTTCATCTAACATACTTTAGACATGTTGTAAGGAGGGACCAGTCCTTAGAGAGAGACATCATGCTTGGGAACATGGAGGGACAGTGCAAGAGAGGAAGACTCTTGATGAGATGGATTGATTCAATGACTGCAGTAATGGGGGTAGGTGTGTCAGAGACAATGAGATTGGCACAGGATAGAGCAGGGTTAAGGGTTGTTGTACATAGAGTTGCTGTGAGTCACAGGTGACTTGATGACACATAACAACAACAACATCAATCTTGTTACATAGCTTGAAAGAAATTAGTACATTCAGCACTTCATTTGGATCAAGAATCACAGATACAATTTTAAGGGGAACAAACTCATTATAACTGCCTGTATTGGGCAGTGTAGAGGGTGGGAAGGAGGGAAAAATTCCATAGCGTATCAACTGGGGTCAAACAGTATGAGGTAACTTGAGTCCTGATTGTGGGTCTACATAAGGGGAAAAAGGGCATTCTTCTGTGTGATTTACTGCCTCTGAAAATCTACGGGAGGGTCAGCTCTGACTCTATTGTACTTAACACCCCACAACATTGGAAAGATGCTGCAATCAATTAATAATGTCTGCCACAAATTTGGACAGGAACATATAGCATGAATGCTAATGGTTGACATTCCTGGCTCAAAGATTATACTTCTAGTATATGACAGAAACCTTAATGTGTGCCTGCCCTAGTTTGGAGTAGAACAGATTTGGTTAAAATCTCAGCTTTGTCCATTGTGAGTTTTGGGACCACAGACAAATTGTTATTCATTTTAAAAATAAACTTAGAAGTTTTAAGTTTCTCTTTGAGGTTTTTCCTCAATTGTGCAGAGTTGGCACAAATACCAGCTCAGTTGAAATGTGATGAGTTTCAAGGCAGTTTAAAATGGGCAGGATTAGCACACTGTCACCTTTCATGTATTGAGTACCAGATGCAACATTGGGTTGGGGTACAGCAGTACTGAGGATGATGCAGGCCTGGGCATTACTTCCTCCTGTTGTGAATAGGATGGCTATGAGTTCAGGAGCAACTAGACAGCACCTAACACCCACCATGTACCAAGGATGAGATTGAGCTCTTGATATGCAGTGTCTCTTATCCTGCCACAAATCTGCAAGGACTTACTCTCCCCAGTATCTACAAGGGGCTTTTTAAGTTGATTACTTACCCACATCATACCGATCCATCGTGATGGAGCTAAGGCTTGGATGCAGTCATGTGTTTAACTCCAAAGTCAACATTCTTCTTTATACCACGAAGAGTTAGGGTACTAGAGTTTATGCATTTTTAAATAATGGGCTTGATGGTACAGGACTGGACAAGGTTCAGACATATTGTTCATGGAGTCACTGTGAGTTGCAGTTGACTTGACAGACAGAGTCTAACAACAAATAGTCCATATATGTGAAGGTCCCTGTGGCAGGTGGAGATCAACTCTAGATAATCATAAATTGGATATATGTCACATGTGAATAAAACACATATGGTAACATCACGAAGACACGTTCTAACAATTGCCTTCAGGTCCCTGATTCTCTGTAATGTCCCATTTGGTGACACAGATACATAGAATTAAATGAAAACCTTCTATCGGATTGTGCACTTCTTTGGTCATTCTGAATGTCACTTGTACTATTGAAGCCACTAGAATATCTAAGAAGCCCATGTGGTGTAATGAATCATGAGTTATTAACCAAAAGGTCGGTAGTTCAAAGCTAACAGCTACTCAATAGGTGAAAGATGTGTAGTTTGCTCCCATGAAGATTTGTGACCTCAAAAACCTGATAGAAGATAGCTATCGGCAATAGCTGACTCCACAGCAGTGAACAGGGTGTCCAAGAGACTCTGCCTGTTATATTCCTGATGCATAAGACAGTAGATGCTTATAGTGATAGAAGTCCAAATATTTACTGCTAAAGTTGGTGCTTTAGTGGTGCAAGCTGGGCTCTAATCCCAAAGACACACAGTTTAAATCGACCAGCTTCTACTGGAGAAGGATAAGCAGTCTCCTCTGATATGATTTATTGCCTCTGAAACCCCCCTGGAGGCGCAGCTATGAACGGGTTCTGACTCAATGGCACACAAGAACAAGAACTACAACAGCAAAGTTTATTAGTGGTTACCAGAAACAGGAGGCAGGGAGAAGAAGGACTCATTGTTCAGGACGCATTGAGTTTCTGTTTACAGTGATGGAAAATTCAGAATATTAGTGATAACAACACAACATGATTAATGAAATTTTGTTGCTGTGGTGGTGTACCATCGAGCTGGAACTGACCTATGGTTGACCCTCCAGCAGATTTTTAGAGGCAGTTAATCACACAAGAAAAAGTTGTCCATCTTTCTTATGCAGAGCAGCTGATGGATTCAAACATCATGCCTTTGGGGTTGCAGTGTAGCTTCTAACCACTAGGCCACCAGAGCTCCCTGATTAATGTAATGTTGTTTTTATGTGCCATCGAGTCACCTGTGACTCAAAGCGACCCTATGTACAACAGTTCTAAACCCTGCTTTGTCCTGTGCCAATCTCATTGTCTTTGACACACCTATCTCTCTCTATTACCTCAGACAATGAATCAATTCATCTCATTGAGGGTCTTCCTCTCTTGCACTGTCCCTCTACCCTCCCAAGCCTGGCTTGCAACATGCCCAATGTATGTCACATAAAACTTCAGAATCCTTGCCTCCAAGGAGCAGTCTGGTCTCACCCTCTCTAGCTCAAACTTGTTTGTTCTCCTAGCAGTCCATGGTATATTCTATACTCATCTCCAGCACCACAGCTCAAAGACATCAGTTCTCCTTCTATCATCCCTAGTCATTGTCCAGCTCTCTGATGCATAGCAAGTGATTGCAAAAACCATGGCCTGGATCGGGTGCCATTGTTGCTCCTCAGTACCTTGGAGAAGCTTCTGAGAGCAGACTCTCCCAATGCGATTTGTCTTTTAATTTCCTGGCTGCTGGTACCAAGAGCCAAGCAAATTAAAGCTGTTGACAATCTCGGTTTCTTCACCATCTATCATGATTCTGCCAAGTGGCCCAGTGGTGAGAATCTTTGTTTTCCTGATGTTGAGCTTCAATCCATATTGAAGGCTGCCATCCTTAACTTTCTGCAGCAAGCACTTCAGGTCCTCCTCAGTTTCAGCAAGCAGGATTGTGTCATCTACATAATGCAGATTGTTGATTAATCTTTCTCCAGTCCTGATGCCACATTTTTCCTCACTCAGCCCAGCCTCCCAGATAATCTGTTCTGTATATAGAGTGAAAAGGTATGGAGATCAGACCCATCCTGGGCATACACCTTCCCCAATTTTAAACCATGCAATGTTTCCTTGCTCTGTTCTGATGACTGCCCCCTGGTCCAAGTATAGGTTTTGCATAAGCACAATCAAGTGTTCTGGGATTCCCATTCTTCTCAGAGTTAGCCACAGTTTGTTATGATCCACACAGTCAAATCCCTTTTCATAGGCAATGAAACACAGATAGACATTCCTCTGGTACTCCCTGCTTTCAGCCAAGATCCATCTAACATTAGCTGTAATATCCCTAGTACCACAGTCACTC